TCAGCCTTCTCTTCTTCAGGCTAAACATGCCCAGTTCCTTAAGCTGCTCCTCATAGGTTGGAGCCCCCGGTGGCACAGTGGGTTAAAGCACTGAGCTGTTGAGCTTGTTGATCGAATGGTCGCAGGTTCGATTCCGTGGAGTGGCATGAGCTTTCACTGTCAGCCCTAGCTTCTGCCAACCTAGCAGTTCGAAAACATGCAAATGTGAGTAGATCAATAGGTACCGCTCCAACGGGAAGGTAACGGCGCTCCATGCAGTCATGCCGGCCACATGACCTTGGAGGTATCTACGGACAACGCCGGCTCTTCAGCTTAGTAAATTGAGATGAACACCACACCCCAGAGTCAGACATGACTGGACTTCATGTCAGGGGAAAACCTTTACCTAACCTTTACCTATGCTAGTTTGTATGAGTCGCCCTCCTCTGGACACATTCCAGCTTATCAATACCTCTCTTCAATTGTGGTGCCCAGAATTGGACACAGTATTCCAGGTGTGGTCTAACCAAGGCAGAATAGTAGCATTACTTCCCTAGATCTAGACACTATGCTGCTCTTGATGCAGGCCAAAATCCCATTGGCTTTTTTTTTTTTGCCACCACATCACATTGTTGGCTCATGCTTAACTTGTTGTCCACGAGGACTCCAAGATCTTTTTCACATCTACTGCTCTCAAGCCAGGCATCACCCATTCTGTATCTTTGCATTTTATTTTTTTAAAGTGGAGTATCTTGCATTTGTCACTGTTGAACTTCTTTTTGTTAGTTTTGGCCCATCTCTCTAATCTGTCAAGATCGTTTTGAATTCTGCTCCTGTCCTCTGGAGTCTTGGCTTTCCCTGCCCCATTTGGTGTCATCTGCAAACTTGATGATCCTGCCTTCTAGCCCATCATCTAAGTCATTAATAAAGATGTTGAACAGGAACTGGCCCAGGACAGAACCTACTACAATGCAGCCTGAGCCCTGCCACATTGCACAATGGAGGATCATCTTATAGCAATACCAGAGGCACTCCAAGTGGCCAGATACTGGTCAAAGGATATTTAATAGAATGCTAAGTCTTTAAACTTTGTGTTTTCTCAAATACATTGGTTCGCTCCTGACACGGTAAATAAATAAATAAATCATGTCCGCAGAACAGTCCTCCAGCAATGCCCCTAACCACCAAATGACCCCAGATGACATTTGAAACTGGCAGAGAAAGAAGAATTGTTCTGATATAATAAGAATTTCAAAATAAAACAACAACTCTGAATGTGCTTAAATGGACCCTTCAAGGACAAATGGGTGACCAGATAATTGCTTGGTTTCCAAGACTTGGAGGAGGAGGAGGCGGCAGCCGGCAGAGCGGCTGGTGCTGCATTGCAGATAAACCAGGAGATACCATCTCACCTCGAGCAGCATTGCATCCAAAGGGAGAAATTCCTGAAAACAGCTACAGCAAGCATAGGCAAACTTGGGCCCTCCAGATGTTTTGGACTGCAGCTCCTACAATTGTGGAAGTTGAAGTCCAAAACACCTGGAGGGCCCAAGTTTGCCCATGCCTGCTGTATAGATCTCACCTGGATTTCAGTGTACCTGGATTTCAGGAAGGCCTTCGACAAGGTCCCCCATGACCTTCTGGCAAGGAAACTAGTCCAATGTTGGCTAGGCAAAACTATGGTGAGGTGGATCTGGAATTGGTTAAATGGACGAACCCAGAGGGTGATTCTTCCCCAAGGCTACCTCTTTATCCTTGAAAGAAGTGATGAGTGGAGTGCCATCAGGAGGGTTTCGTCCTGGGCCCGGTCCTGTTCAGGATCTTTATTAATGACTTAGATGAAGGGTTACCAAGTTTGCAGACGACACCAAATTGGGAGGGAGAGCCAATACTCCAGAGGACAGGAGCAGGATTCAAAATGATCTTAACAGGTTAGAGAGATGATTGGCCAAAACTAACAATATGATGTTCAATGGGAACAAATGCAAGAGACTCCACTTAGGCAGAAAAAAATGAAATGCAAATACAGAATGGGGGACGTGGCCTGGCTCGAGAGCAGTAGGTGTGAAAAAGATCTTGGAGTCCTCGTGGACAACAAGTTAAACATGAGCCAACAATGTGATGTGGCGGCAAAAAAAGCCAATGGGATTTTGGCCTGCATCAATAGGAGCATAGTGTCTAGATCTAGGGAAGTCATGCTACCCCTCTATTCTGCCTTGGTTAGACCACACCTGGAATATTGTGTCCAATTCTGGGCACCACAATTCAAGAGAGATATTGACAAGCTGGAATGTGGCGACTAAAATGATCAAGGGTCTGGAGAACAAGCCCTATGAGGAGTGGCTTAAGGAGCTGGGCATGTTTAGCCTGAAGAAGAGAAGGCTGAGAGGAGATATGATGATAGCCATGTATAAATATGTGAGAGGAAGTCACAGGGAGGAGGGAGCAAGCTTGTTTTCTGCTTCCCTGGAGACTAGGACGCAATGGAACAATGGCTTCAAACTACAAGAAAGGAGATTCCAATTGAACATGAGGAAGAACTTCCTGACTGTGAGAGCTGTTCAGCAGTGGAACTCTCTGCCCCGGAGTGTGGTGGAGGCTCCTTCTTTGGAAGCTTTTAAACAGAGGCTGGATGGCCATCTGTCAGGGGTGATTTGAATGCAATATTCCTGCTTCTTGGCAGAATGGGGTTGGACTGGATGGCCCATGAGGTCTCTTTCAATTCTAAGATTCTATGAAAGCTGTGTCCAGTTCTGGACAAAGCAATTCAAGGAGATTGCATGTCACAAATAATATCTGATTGAGGTTGGACTGGATGGCCCTTGGGGTCCCTTCCAGATTCTATGAAATGCACAATAGGGCATATACCTGAGTCCTGTGTATTGCTGATGCGGCACAAATTTCTTGTGCATCTTTGCCATTAACCAACAAGGAGCTGGTGCACAACCTCAGCAAAACTACTCCAGCATAAAGTTGGCTCTCTCAGTCTCAGCTCCGTCTTTTCAAACATACTCTTAACTATTGCATCCAAATTGGGAGCGGTGCCCAAACCGAATGCTGTACGCCTCTAACCTGTCTCCTTTCCGTCCCAGAAAAGCTGACTCCTGCCTCTCCCCAGGTGCTTATTGCGAAGCACAATCTATTTATATCTCCTCCTCGGAGGGGTTTTGAACCTTACAGGTGTCTCCCCACCTCTCCCCCTTCCTTGCCCTTTGCAGTCTCTTTGAGAAATGCAAAGCCCTGTGTAATTGGAGCCCTTGAGACTTGCAATTTGCCCAAATTACGGTCTGTAATATATTGTCTGCTCCTTTCCCCCCCTTCCCAGCACCTGCAATTTGATTTTGTTGCTGTTCAAGAGGGGCAAGGAGGGCTCATTTCCTACGGAAAGGAAGCAACACGGGCTAATGAATAGATTGAAGACCAGTAAGGCCCATACGTTTCTTCCTGACGTCTGTCTCCAGTTGGGTTTCTCTGCATCAATCATTCAGAGGCAGACAACTTTGGCAACTCCCAGCATCCTTGAGCAGAGGATTTAGGGCAGCGTTTCTCAAGGTGGGTGTCGGTACCCCTGAGGGGTTCGCAAGGCTGGTTTGCATATCACTTTGCCTAGATCTTGGAAGGTTTGCTTTCTTGGACTTTAACTCCCAGAATCGCCAGCCAACATGACCATTTGAGGTGCATCTACACTTTGGCAGAGAAGGCATCCTACATGATTCAAGCATGATGGTGCCTTGCCAAACTAGATACTCCAAGATCCCCATGTTTTCCAGTGTGACTTTAAGGTCAACTTCCACCGTAGGTTGACCATTGACCACAGAATTAAGTTGGAGGACCCACAAACACCTAGAGAAGTGCTTTCTCTAAGAATCTCTGGGTCCTTTGGTCCAGCTCTGAGGTCAACTTCTACCAAAGATTAGCCGTAGAACCACACTGGAGGATTCACAAATGCCTTCAGGAGAGTTCTCTATAGAGCAGAGCCTTCCAAACTGGAAAAGATCTCCAAAGGGTGTCTAGTCCAACCCCCTTCAGGCAGGCAGGAAGACATAGCCAGAGCCCTCTCGACAAACGTCCATCTCTAGCCTCAGTTCAAAAACCTCAAATGAAGGAGAATCCACTGGAAGAGACTCGTAGAGAGCATCTAGTCCAGCCCCTTTCAACCAGGAAGGAGTGCACAGTCAAATCACCTGTCATACACCAGAGTAAGGAGAGCTCTGACCTTAAACACCACATCAACTTGGTAAAATCAGCAAGCAGTTTATTGAAGAATGTATTTAGGTAGGCAAAGCAGTAAAAAATAGCAAAAACAGTAAAGATCCAATATATAAAATAGTCCATTTTCAAAGGAAAACAAGATCCATGAGTACATAAAAATCCATGAAACTAGACACTGGAATCCATGAAACAAGACAGCAGGAAAATCTCATAGACAAATCTTAAGATTGGCAAAAACTTGGGATATGAAACTCAGAGCACTTGAAAGCAAGACCGTGATAAAATAACAACGTTGACCCGACTGAGGCAACTCTCTCCTATGAATCATTATAAAACTTCCTCAGATCCCAAAATTGAAAGGAAAGCATTTGTCTTGACCTGCCCGCCAGATAAAGGTTCGTTATCTCTCTTTTTGCTGCAGATGAACTGATTGTCTCAGTCTCTGAAGAATTTGTTTTAGCTTTCTGTCCAAGGGTTGTTGTAG